ATTCAACTTGACATGTAGCTGAATAGTATATATATATTATATATTTCTATATATATATATATATTATGTATCTTTCATTGTAAAGCTATACGTATGCGTTATATTGATGCTGGATCAACCTTTAGTTATATACTTGTGCCTGGTTACAGGGTATTCAGGGTTCATATAGGTTGGAGGTTGGTTACAGCTGGATAAACTTTGTTATAATTGTGTCTTATTACAGGGTATTCGGGATTCATATAGGTTGGCGTTATATTAAAGCTGGATCAACCTTCTGTTTATGCTTGAGCCCCGTTACAAGGTATTGAGGCGCATGGCGTTGATCGGCCTGGGTTTGTGTGTGGGTTTTTTTTTTGTCGCTTATCCCTGGCACTTGTCACTTGATATTGGGGTTTAGTTTTTGGCGTCGATTAGCGAACACTGCGGCCCAGTGGACGGGGTCGGGCCAGTTGCGGCTACGTCATTAGCTGCACATCTCGAGCGGCAAATGTGAGCGGAGCGTCCATAAATAATGATTGCCGGCTATATGGGCCGGTATTCAAATTACAAACAGCGTCGGGATTACTCGACCGACACAGTTCCGGCTGCCCAGCCCGAACCCCGCCCGTATCGGGGGCATCAGCCGCGGGCGACACGCGCTTAAATGGAAAATCGGCCAGCATATTCCGTGTGGCAGGCAATGGACGTGGCTGCAGACTTGGCTCCGGCCAACTAGTTATTATTATGGATAAGCACACTAGCATTTTTGCCCGGCCTGAATAACATTTTATTTGTTTTTTCCTGGTGCGCTTCATTTTTCATGGCCCAGCCAAAAGGATTTGAGCTGTGTATTTTTTGGGCGTGGGTGGCGAATTTTGCGTAAAGAAAACTTTGAAAGTGGCCCAATAAATACGGCACCTTCGTTTTCCGAGTGAGGTGGCAACTCTGCAGCTAAAACAAAACTATTTGAGGTTATGTGAACAGTTAAGAGTGCAGCTGTGTTCATGCCAAAGTTTTCCACAAAATGTAGCTGATGGAGGATGTAGAATTTACTTGTTATTTGTTTTTTTTCGGTGGGATGGCAACTCTGTTGTATAGACAAAAATAACTGTACTGATTGACTGACTGATTAAGCAATTGACTGACTAATTGACTAACTGACTAATGCCAGTGCTTGACTGACTGATTTACTGGGCGATTGATTCACTGATAGACTGATTGAATAGCTAAGCGGTTGATTAGTTAGTCAATCAGTGATTGATTGACCGACCGAGTGATTGGTTGATTGAGTGATAGACTGATTGACTAGCTAAGCGGTTGATTAGTTAGTCAATCAGTGATTGATTGACCGACTGAGTGATTGGTTGATTGAGTGATTGATTGATTAACTAACTGAGTGATAGTTTAACTGACTGAGTGATTGATTGACTAAGTGACTGACTAGCTGGTTAACTAATTAATTGAGTGATTGATTGATATACTGACTGAGTGAGTGATTCACTGATTGATTGACTGAATGTTTAACAGGTTTACAAATTGACGTATTAACTTGCCAAAAGACTGACTGATAAGCTTACGGTCTGACTGATTGACAGAGCGAAGAACTGACTGACTGATTGATTGATGATCAATGCACAGTCCGACTAATGACTGTTGCCTAATGTGATGTAAGTGCACGCTAGCACCGGGCTTAAGGAAATTCCAATTCAAATTCATCTTCAAAGAACTTTGTGAAAACTCATTTAAGACATGTTTCTCTCTGTGCTGCGGTATGTCCAACCCACCCCGGGTGGAAAACGGCCATAAAGGTTGGACGAACGAATGTTTAATGTTTGGCTTCATATTCATCTACAAAGCTTTTCATTATAAATGAATGAATTTCATTAAATTGCATTTCATTATCTCTGTAACAATGTGGCAACAGCAATTTGCTGGGATAATTTAAGCATAACTTTGACAGGCAGAAGAGAGAGTACTTTCAGTCTTATCTGCCAACTATAAAACATATTTCATAGGTTTAACATTGGACTTAAGAAAAATTAGAAAATAAATAAAGTTGCTAATTAAATAATTTTGTGAAAATTGCCAAAACGACTTCCATGGAAATACCGTGAACATTAAAGTGCTTGTTAACTTTAACAAGCAGATGAGAGAAGGAGGCTTTTATCAAGTGATAAATAAATATTTGCTCCTTAAATTCATTTCATAATTAAAAAAATTGTGAATCGGTCCAATGGCAACCGCAACCCGGCTTTGGCTTTACCTTTTGCTGGGGCTACATTTGAACATTTCATCATTTGCCATTTGCCATTTGGCATTTTCTATTTCCATTTTCCATTCTGCACATTCTATTTTCCATATAACATTTAGCTTCGACCCGATTCTCGCTTGCCCTTTGGGGATTTGCGAGCTGTTTCATTTGAAAGATCAAACAGCTGCTGGTTAACTTAGGATTGTAATCCTCACACCGCATTGCACACACCGATTGCCGTATTAGCTGGGCCCCAGACTGGGCATGTGGCATGCGGCATAAACTGTTCCCAACCCCCGCCAGCTGCTGGATTTGCATAAGCTAATAACCCAACTTTGGGCCTGGACATAGCGCCTGGGCGAGCTGAACAACTGGCCACAGCAGCCGCAAGTGCAACAAACATCACAGGGACACACTCCAACACCCTCACACACACCCTCGCACACACGCAATAAGCGTGACAATTCAGGGCTTTCATTTGCCCCACCATATAAATCTAAGCGACACCACGCACCGCACACTTACACCTAATGACGTTTTATTACAAATTTAATAGAGTCACGGCGAATCACGACGAAACGAAGCTGAGCGCATATCAACGACATTTCCCATTTCACATACCCTGTAAACAGGGGTTCGTTGATTCGGGCGCCGCCATTTCTGGTCATTGTCCATTTAATATCATAAATTAATATGCAAATTACAAATTTCATTTAACCCAGCGACAAGAAACTGAAATTGTTCGTTAACATACCCTATACTAAATGCATGCGGGTATATTGGTAACAGGCAGCTGACTTATCCTGGATCGATATCGATATCTTAGGCCATTTGCACGAAATCGATAATTATCGGTTTTCACATGAGATTTTCTGAGAGACAGACATAACCAAATTTTGGTTCTAGATATAATATAACTTTCACTTCAATAAACATGTTTGTTCCAGCTTGGACTTGGGTATATTCGCATATATAAACTGAAAGAAGAACTCACAGCTCGAATAATTCTAGAGGCAGCTCGTCGCTGTGCCCAGGGTATCTCTGAGTCGGGCACTCGCTAGTTTGTATCTGTACCCATGATAAACGAAATACTCCCCGGCCACATTTCGCACCCGGCAACGCATATAAATACAACTTTATAAAGTTACGGGCTCAACAATATAAATTATCGAGTATTGGCAAGTTCTTTTCATTTTTACAGCCATTCAAAAGATAGCTAGAATAAAAGAGTTTGCAGATATATAGCTTCGTTTTGAACTCTCAAAGGTCCTCATTTTATTATCTTAAATATTGCGTCTAGTTGCTTAACTTTAGTGCTGCAATACTTCAATCAAGAACAAAAGTGCTTGACATTTTTCAAATTTGTATGAACAAAACCTTGTTGACACTTTAATTTCAATTTGGTTGGCATATCAAAAGATTGCTAAAGAAAACGTTTCTTAAAATATACCTGCGTATAAATAAATATGAAGATGTCAGGTGGGATACGAAATTGGGTCACAATCTGGCCGAAAATTTGACTGGTTAATATGAAGATAATTAAATGCGGCGCTATTTAAAATAAACATTTGCCGATCCCCAACATAATTCAAGGATATTTCATTCTTTCATTCCATTTTACATACTCGCAACTATTTTGTGTTTCTATGTTATACTGTTCCTAACACACCTTCTATGTTGTCTGCACTTTAGTTCTTCTCTAAAAAGTGTTCTCTGTTTTAATCTCAGTATTCCCAGTTCCACACCTTTTTTTTTATCCCTGTTCCTCTTTTGTTCGCTTTGTTCCCAAATTAATTCCCAGATTTGTTCTTAAGTGTTCCATTTGTTGTCGTTATATTTTTCCATCTCTTCTGCCACAAAGTCCCTTTTCTATGCCCAACTAATTTAACTCTCTTTTCTTCACAACTTCATAATGTGTTCTCAACTTTGGTCAAGTCTGTTCACAAATCTCTCTCTACATAAACAGTTGCCCTTACGATATTCTCATTACTGTTCACAGCTCTGTTAGCGATCTGTACCCAACTGTGTTCTGAGCTCTGTTCCCAGAACCGAGTTCCGCTCCATTTTCGGCTCTGTTCAAAATTATCTGCCCAAATATAAGTATTAACTGTATCATATATATACAATAATTCGTACATGTTTCCTGTACTCAACTCTACATTTCAATCTGTTCTCTGTTGATTTGACAGCATGTTATTAAATTCAAGCTCAACTCTACACTCAGTTAACATTTCCCATTATTGATTCAGTTTCCGACTACGTTCTCAACTCCGTTCCCAATTTTTTAAACGGTTCTTAACTCTGCTTTTAATTTGTTCCCAGCTCCCTTTGATCATTGAAATCTGATTTCTTTTGTATTCTCAAATGGATTCAGCTTCATATAAAACTCTGCTCATATCAATCTGTTCTCAGCTGCTGGCAGGCTTCTCCAAACTGTTCACAGCGCTGTTGCGTATCGCTTGTCTCAACTCTTTTTACCGCACCCATTTTTAATGATCCCATTATTTAGTTTGTTGCCAGCCGTGTTCAGCAATCTGTTCCCAGCCTAGGTGTTGCCCGAGAGTCTCCCCAGGGCGATCTCTTGAGGCATCCAGTTATTTGGGAGCCGGCTGCTGCTGTGAGATTGTGAGGCGCGTTTTGTTTTTATTGATCACCGAATGCTGCCAACATAGCGAGTATATAAAATAATTGTATTCAATCGAATGCCGCGTGAATGTGTTCCCAATGCATAAACAGTTCGCCAGATTTTGTTTATTTGCCCAAGACTTACGCATCATCATTATCGTCATGACAGATGTGGCCACGGGCGGCTGGACTTCGAATGGGAATTGCTTGGCTGTCGGCTTCTTACCCTCCTTCTTCTTCTTCTTTGGCTATTCGAATAGCCAATAAACAATCAACACAAATCTTAGGATTTGTTGCCAATCAAACTGTGAACAAAAAAAAAAAAAAACACGCACACAAACAGAAGAACAAAAACAAACAGAGAACGCGTCGCGCTTAACCACTTTCCAGTTTCCACTTTCCACTTTCCAGTTTCCACTGGAACTTAACTGAGATCAGTGCGCGAGCAGTTCGAATTTTCGATTTTGGTCGTGCGAGTTCGAAAGATTTCGAATTACGTTTCGTAACTTATGCTCAATTTGCCTGCTCCTTTAAACATTTTCGTTGAATGCGCGCATTCGTTGGCAGCGCGCTCGCGAAGCTAACGGTAACAACTGAAGCGAGCGCTTGCAACATGTGGCATCTGCCGCCGCCGCTGCTGCCGAAGTCGATGCCGGTGCCCGACGCCCGATTCCCGATGCCCGACGCCCGAAACGTGCTCAATGAACGAACAGCTGATAAATTTATGAATGAAAAAAGCTTCGCAGCGGGCGTCAAGTTCAAGGTGAAAAGCGTCGCGCTGCAAGCTCTTCCCAATATTTGTATGTGCTTGCCAAAGCTCAGGAATGTAACGGAAATTAACAGTTCAGTGTTGGACGCGGAACAAGCGTGAATTGTAATGCATAACAAAAGAAATACAGCGAGAATTATGGGATTCCTTCTGCATGCCGAAGTGGAAATACCCTTCTGGACAATCGCCTTAAGGTTTTGCAGATAAGTGAGAACAGTGAAGCGTGTTTGATGAAATTTTCTTGGAAAACAGAATATTTTGACACACAAAAAGTAATTATCCAACCAATTCTTCCTAAATAGTGCGCTAGTGCGATCTTGTTAAAACGCGAATCATATTAAAAAAAAAACCCTACTCAAAACATTTCTTTAAAACATGCAACCCTGTAACTCGAGCTTGAATTCATGAGAATCGCATGGTAAGGCGATTTACAAAAAATATGTTAATATTGCGGCGCAAGCGTAAAATAAACTTTATTTGCCTTTAATAGAAGAGGCAAAAAGTGAAAAAAGTATTCATCTGTGTATAGTATTATACATACCTACTGATCGCACTTTGGTGTTCCCAGCTCTTGAAGCTATTTTAGTTAATAACAACGGTTCCCGCAGACAGACATGTCTAGATCGAACGGGAGATGCTTCCTTCTGTGTGTTGCATGGCTGTGCACAAAGCCAGTATACCCTCTTTTCAGCTAATTTGTTGGGGTATAATCGAACACTGCTTGTACACTGCTTGCACACTGCTTGCATACACACTGCTTGGTATTTACATGAAAAGCTCGCAGTATGTAAATATCTATTATAATCGAGAGTTTTGAAATAATGAACATTATTTTTTTTTTTATTAAATCAGTTTATTTAGTTATCAATTCTTAAGCTCAAGTACATAAGACTTAAAGAGATGTTTCTGAGGCGGAAATATCTATTCAAGTTTAAAAACTGAACTTTAATCTGAAAGCTAATACCTAATTCTAGCTGGAGAATAGAGGGATATTCCAGTTTTGCTAATTCCCGATCTTTTGCTCGCTCTCCCACCCAAATACCAAAACTCGGCGCATCTCTTGATAAATAACTTATTTAATAATAATTTAATATACAAGGAAGATATATCATGGATAGAAAGATAGACAAAAAAAAAAAAAACAAAAAAATATTTTAGAAAATGTTGACAAGATGGACTCCAACAGATGGAGAGGGGGGAGGGGGGATGAGGTGGCGCTCAGTAGTGCTGATAGCTCTGCTGCTGCTGCTGTTGCTGCTGTTGCTGCTGCTGCTGCTGCTGATGGGCTAGATTCGCCTGGGCGAAGATGTGCTCGATCTCGGCATTGCTCAGCTGATCGAAAATGTCCTGGGCCCCGTGGCTGGCGCTGGCGGCCGTTAGCTGTGCCGCCTGTGTGTTAACGGGCGGCAGATAGCCTGAGAAGCGCAAAGACAGGCGTTTTTGAGTGGACTACGCAATTGGGCTGAGCTGATTGTTACTTACCATCAGCTGGCGCGCTGCCGTAGGGCGGCAATAGGGTTATGGCTGGACGGCTGGGCGTGGCTGGGGGCTGATAGAAGACCGGCTTCCAGGGCTGTTGAGGCTGCTGAGGCTGTGTGGGCTGTGGGGCGGGCTGCGGCTGCGGCTGCTCGGGCTGCTCCGACTCCGGCGTGTTGGGTATCTGCGGCGAGGCGATGGCCGTGCCCGTCTCTGGCTGCACGGGCGTCGATCCAGGCAGTGGCACTATGCCGCCCGGAAACTGCGCCTCCGGCTGCCCAAAGCTGGGCGGCTGCTGGGGCAGCGGCGGCTGCACGGCGGCGGGAAAGAACTGGCTATTAGGTGGTGCGCCGGGCGCAGCCGGAAACGCGGGCAGCGCGGGATTGGCCGGCGTCGCGGGCACAGCTGGAGCAGCGGGCGTGGCGGGCACAGCCGGAACAGCGGGCGCCTGTGGGAACTGTGGCACCTGTGGGAAGGGGAACTGCGGAATGCTGAACTGTGGGAACGTTGGGAACTGCGGGAACTGCGGAATTTGCGGAATCTCCGGTATCTGAGGTATCTGCGGTATCTGCGGTATCTGCGGAATCTGTGGTATCACAGGCACTTCAGGCGTGGTGGGTGCAGCCGGAACCGCAGCTGCTGGCTGCACAGCGAACGTGGGCCCCGAGAACACGGGAAACTCGGCGACGGGCGGGTTGACGTGGGCGAAGCTCACGCCAGGATGCAGTGCAGCCACATGCTGTACGGGCTGCACAGGCTGCACGGGCTGCACAGGCTGCACAGGCTGCACAGGCTGCACGGGCTGAATGGGTTGAATAGGCACGGCGGGAGCAGCAGGAGCGACAGCCTGAACATAGGTGGGCTGCAGGTAATCAGGCCATGAGTGTGGAGGCGTAAGTGCAGCCGGAGAACTTACCTGATGGTAGTGCAGGGGCTTCAGCGGTCGGTGCAGATGCTGATGCGGATAGTTGACGCTGTACGAGGAGACGACCGCATTGCCCGGACGCAGCACATACGAAGGCGGCGCAGCCACGGCGGAGGCGATGCCACCGACAGCGGGCAGGCCGGAGACGGCGGGCAGCGCGGGAACAGCCGTGGCAGCGGGCAGGAACGCAGACGCGGGCGCAAACTGTTTAATGTGATAGCCGCCCAGGCCAGACGGATACTTGACGAAGCCATGATGGCGATGGGCGGGCGCAGCTGCCAGGAAAGTGGCCGCCGCGGGCAGCTGCAAGCTGTAGCCATACTGGGAGGCATAGGTGCGGGCGGGCCAGTGCCCGGCGGCGCCGCCATGCAGTATGCCACGCTTGTGCTTGCCGGTGGCCAGCGGCTGCTCCTGCTCCTGCTGCTGGGTCGGCTTCTCGGTCGCCGTCTCCGGCTGTTGTGGCTGCAGCTCCGCGGCGGCTGTGGTGGCCACGGTGGTGGGCGTGGTGCTGACCAAGCGGCTGCCATGGCGCAGACGCAGCGAGGCGTGGGCAGCCCGGCCGCTGGCCAAGACAACGCCCAGCAGCAGCAGCAGCAGCAACGGCAGCGGACAGCATCTGCTCCTGGCACTGGCTCGACCTGAACTGCGTCTCATCATGTTGTGGCTGCTTGCTAATCCGTTTGCGACTTTCGATTCCGTTTCGGCTGGCTGGCTGGCGAATGGCTGTTGGATTATGTCAACGCGTCGATTGTTGCCAAGAAAATGAAATGAACTTCCTTGGTGTTTCTTGTATTTATAAAGCGGATATCGACGTGCAATGCCGCCGGCACCGCGGCTGCATACCAAATAGCCCAGCGGCTGTGGGCGCACTCCACGCTCATCGGCATGGCCAGCGGCAATTGGCCAGTTTATGGCTTTTACGCGGCCATTTCACCTGACCCAAACGCCGGACAGCGGCTCATTATGCTAACGCCAAGTAGCCCTAGCTCTGCACAGTGGGCCGCAGCAGGTGTTAAGTGAATCAATTCAATTCGATTCAAACAAATTTTAGAGCCAGTGTGGAATAAGTGTGCGTTTAAAAACAAATGCTTGCCGTCAAGTGTTCCATTCCCATTTGTTCCACTTCATTTGAAACGATGGTAACGCTGGAACACGAAGGACATGCTTTAAACACTGACAGTGCTCCATTTCCATTTCATTTTCATTGTTCCTAAATCAAAATGATAATTAACGTTAGCAACAAATTCAATTTATGGCCCATTTCCATTTGTTCCATCGTTTCTTTCTAATTCCATTCCATTCCATTCCTCTTGTTTTTTAGTTCGTTTAGTAATTTAGTTGGTGTTCGATTCTTGTAACATTTTCTCATGCTTTCATGAGTGTTTCATTTTCGTTTGTTCCCCTGAGTTAAGCTATCAAATCATAGACAACAACAAGGATTGTTGTGATAATGAGGTACAGCAGCCGCTCGCTAAGCGGAACGCTTCTGTGTCAAATAAGTTTGCGACTAATTTTTATTTTTAAACGTTATTTTTTACAAGTGGGAGAATTAATTTTGGAATATCACCTGAATTAAATGTTCAACAAATGCTTATTAGGCGTTTTCCATAGTTTAAAGCTAAAGCAAAACAAAAATATATATTTCTAAAAATTTCTACATTTTAAATGGATTATAATTGAATTTCCAGTTTGCAGAACAATTTAGTTGCAGGCAGTGCTAATATTTGTGCCACCACTGTAGTAGCAAGGCAAGCAGATGCCTCCATTTCACTCCCTCTCTCTCTGTCTCTTTCATTTAGCGCCTTAAAGAGCTTTAGTTTTTCTTGCCAGCCTTTCTGCTTTGAACCACTGTGCCCTTGCGAAGGTGGACAGGCCTGTGCGCTGTTGTACCGTCCACCTGTGTCCGTCCACCTGTACAGGTGGCACGTTTCTGCACGTACGAACAAACTTTTGTTTTCATTTTGCTGCTGGCACATTTCACTTTCAGCCACTGGCCAACAGTTGCCCGAAAAGGTGGCTCGTTGTCATATTTTGGGCCATTTGATGCGATGCGAAGCCTTTTATGACTGGTTGCATCACAAAGTGCAGCCCAGCAAAAAACTGGGCCAATCAAAGCTGAGCACAGTGCTGCCAATTTGCTGCAGAGCAGCGAAAGCAAACACACAAAATAATTACTTTAAATACCTCGCTAAACTATCAATTACTTTTGATTTGATTTGAACGCGATGCGATTCGGTTTTGATTTTATTTGTTGCGCTTAGCTTTAGTTAAAATTCAGCATTCACACGCATAAATTTCACTTGCACTAAATTTGTTGTGCGTGTGGGCCAAGGGGCAGGGCGGGCGGCCAGCTCATAATGCAGGTGGGTGTGGCCCGAGGGGGGCGGGGAGGGCAATTGACATTATATCACACACTCCGGCGCACAAGTCCAATTGAATTCCCAATTAGGCCACATTTTCACTTTTGTTTTGTGTCTTTTTGGAAAATCGAGCTGGAAACCGATTTGGAATTTTGATTCGTTTTACATATTTAACGCGATCTATAAAAGGTGGCCCCCACAACGTCAAGGTCTTTCCCAGGCTGGCCGAGGCTCACAATAAGCCGTCGATCAATTTTGGCACATGTAATACTTATGTTAACAATGTTTATAAAACTTTAATTTTTACGAGCGCCATGTAAAACGAAGAGCATAAAACAAAAAAAAAATAGGTGGGAGAACGTGTTTAGCATGTTTAAAGAAGAAGGCAAAATCATAATAACATTACGAAGTACAAGAGAAGGTAAACTGTGCAACAGGACTTGTAAATTTCGCTCAGGTTTTTGTGTGCAGGAATATCGGAACAGGTGCCACATGTGACTACAGCTTGAAGCCGGAGTGTATGCTGACAACGCCAAAGGTTAGATTCTCGTAGGTCACATGCGCGAAGCCGGCCTGCTCGATCATGCTCTTGAACTGTTCCTGCCGCGGAAAGCGTCGTATGCTTTCGACCAAATACTGATAGGCGTGCCACTGGCCAGCCAGCAGCTGGCCCATTGGCGGTATCACCTGGAAGGAGTACTGATCGTATAGCCACTGCAGTGTCTCGTTGCTCAAATGGCTGAACTCCAGGCACATGAAACGACCGCCGGGCTGCAGCACGCGGTACGCCTCGCTCAGCACCTGAAACAGGACACATATTAGACATATTATCGCAGTCAGGATTATAAGCTTCACAGTGCTTACCTTGTCCACGTGCGTGCAGTTGCGTATGCCAAAGGCAATGGTGTACGCAGTGAAGCTGTCGCTCTTGAAGGGCAGCTTCTCGGCATCGGCACACTGCCAGTCAATGCTGGCATTGGGCAGCCGTTCAGCGGTCAGGCCCAGCTGGCGGGCGCGCTCCTTGCCCACGTTCAGCATATGCTGATTGATGTCCGAAACGGTTACATGGCTTTCACGCTGTTTTGCATTCGGCTGCTTGGCCAAGTACTTCAGATACCGAAAACTGATATCGCCCGTGCCGCCGGCCATGTCCAGCAGCCGCATGCCATGCTCGGGACCCAAACGCTCAATGAATATGTCCTTCCACACGCGATGTATGCCCATGGACATGGCATCGTTCATCAGGTCATACGACTGGGCCACCTGCTCAAACACCTCGTGCACTGCAAGCAATATATAGTTAGCAATTAAATGGGTTTGCATTTTATTATGTAGGTTTGTGTCTATGCAAGCCAACTGTCCAGTTCTAAAGAGTTCCTTATGAGAAACTTTGCACGGATGCACATTCCGTATTCAGCCGGATCGGAGCACTACATCATACATGTAGCTGACGGTTATAGTAGTATATGAAAATCTAATTCTCTCTGCTATTCTTTAAGCCATCTTGACCCAGCTTGGCATTCAATCACGCAAGCGCCATAAAATGATCGGACCACTAAATCATGCAGCTCTCGCAGAAGAATTGAGCATATTTCTGTTTCTCTGCAAGGGTATTTAATGTGCGGCGTCCCGGCAACAGCTGTTATTTCTTGTTTATTTGTTTTACTTCTGCTTCTTTTGCTCACCTTTCAGCTCCTTTTCGCTTTCCTTCACAGTCTGGTAGCCGAAATGCGTTGTCTGTTCCGTGCCGCTGGAGGCTGTTGTTGGATTGGCCGCGGTGGCGGACGTGCGTCTGAGTAGGAGCCGGGCTAGGTTGGCGAGTTTGCGTGTGTTTTGCATTGTTATTTAATACAGCTTAAAGCTAATTTAGCTCAGTGAATGTTCTAACAAAATTATTATGAAATAAAAGAATTTGGGCAGCGGCGGCGGCGGTGGCGGCGCTAACAGCTGTTGGCTACTCGTGCAGCTATAGTTGTCCCTGTCCCACTCACGGGCATTCGATACATGTGCGCGAACTATCGATATATATATACAGTTATGATAACATAAGAATACGCGCCAATTAGCATAAATTCAAAAACGCGTAATTAACAAATTAACTTTGACTTCTTTTATGCAGACTAAGGAGTGTTAAATCTATTTGATAAACATAAACGTGTTTTATTATATTATGCTTACCATGATGCGAACCAAATTCGTATAGTATTGGATAATGCGAGTCAAATACCAATTGTACATTAGCACATGGATATTAGCAACAACAAGGAGTGCAAGAAAGCAAGCAAATTGATAAACCTTCGGCTAGTTCTCACGATTCTGAGCCGGAAAACGATGCCGATCGCAATACATTGGCAAGTACAAGCCCAACACAACGACTGTGATGATAGCATATGCCATATATCCTTCCATCTAAGCGATGTATAAATTTGATTGTGTTTCCCAATTTTACATATGGAAAGCTAAAGCTTTCGGGCAATCGACAAAAACTGTGGCCTGCTCTGACAGAATTCAAACGAGTATTTTTCTTATCGATAGTAGGCTGAGCTGCACATTTTGCTAGTTTTATTTTACAGCTGAACTGAAACGAGCTGGTATTTTGCAGTGGCTGCACGATGGTCACACTGACCCGCTAGCACTTCAATTTGTTGCTGATCTTCGTGCGCTTTGGTTGTGCGTCGTCTCAATTTTTATTTTACATTTTTTTTTGTGGTGCATCGCGCGCCGGCTGTTCAAATAACATACGTTCGCCAAAATAAAACTAAAAATACATTAGTACTGTTTTGTTTTTGAAACGCAAAGTTCACATTTTGCGCGTCTATGCGTGTGTGTGTGTGTGTGTGTGAAAGTGCCGAAAATGTTTTTTAATTGAAATTTGTTGCCATGCAGCATGCAATGTGCACCTGTGTCCGCGCAGTCAGTGAAGCCTGAAAAGCCAAGCCACAAAAGTGTAAAGTGCACTCGCCAGCAAAGCTGTTGAAAAAGAAGAATTAAGCCGAAACAAAACAAAGCGCAAAGTAACAACAACAACAATAAAAATAACAACGCAATTCGCAACTCGAGAATTTCGCGCGTCGCTCGCTGCGCTCCAATTGCAGAAGCGCTTGGCTCTTATTGTTGTTGTTGTTGTTGCTGTTATTGCTGTTGGGTGTGTTTGTCTTCTTCTGCTACGCGACCCACACAAATGAGGTAAACAACAACACCCACACACTTACATACACTCACACACACACAAACACATTGCTAGATTCTGCTTGAATACAACTTCAACTCCCTTCGCAATTTTACAACACTTGTAATTTGATGCTTTTGTTTGTTTACTTTTTGTTATGGCTAAGCCGTAAGGTTGCCAGACTTTTGTTGTTGTTATTGCTGTTGTTGTTGGCGTTGCCGTTGCCCAGGCAAGCTCGACCGTTGTTAAAGCCGTCTAACGGCGGTCCGACACCATTTTTGGGCCATGTGAACACGGCAAATGCGTTAATTGCGTGCGGCCTTCAATTATGAAGAGTTTATTAAAACACCAAATTTGTCGCTGTCATCGTTCATAACGATTTGCTCCAAATACTGCTCCATATGGCGTTCAAGCAACTAGAAAGTTCTGAGAGCGGCATGCGACACGCCTACCGCCGCACGCCCACTTTCACGGCCGACAATTGATTATGATTGCGCCTGATTGATGGATTGATCGTTTGGCTTGCGGCTGATTGGGCTTATGCAATGCCCAGCCATTTGGCCGAATTACACACACACACACACACACACACACACACACACACACACACACACAGTTGCACTCGCTCTCAGTGTTAGGCAAAGGCTTGAGCCGTGTGTCTGCAGCGCGGGGCAAAAGACAGACTTTCGAATGGCGTTTGGCGACTTGTGGGCCAATCGGTTAATTGCATTTCCTGGACACTCGTCATCGTCATCATCATCGTCATCGTCAGCATCTATTATGATCATCATCAATCGCTGGCGTTAATTGTATTTTAATTACTAGGCGTTGGAGTTGCCGTTGACGCTGGTCACACTGCAAACACATGCAAATTGCGGTATTTGCAGTATTGCAAAATGCATAAAAACAAACACTCAAAATGCTCTACGCCAGTGTGCTGCACTAACGCATACCCTGTAGTTAGCTTAAGGCACTTCTCTCGAGCGAATATTCAAGTTTTCAGCTTTTTTTATCCCGCCAAAGAAGTTTGTTCAATTAAGTAAAAGAATTAGCATATGTAGCATCTATTTGTGAGATTTTTGCTGCTTAGAGAATTTGTTTATTGCCTTCAAAGATAAAAAATGCCTCCGAACAAGAGAGCGTACGTCCAATGTCGAGCACTCTATTTGGAAAGTATGGAAATAGTTAGGGAGCTTACCGTTAGTTAGAGCTTTCACTGTGTGCACTTGAGTAGTACAATTAAACAAAATGTTGATTAATTGATAATATTGTTAAACAATCGGGTATTTTTCGTCCACCTAAAATAAGGAAAGTCTGGGTATTACGAAAACTCTTGTCTGTATAGTAAGAACAAGCGCGACTGGAAGAAGGAGGAAATCTGTTACCTATAAGATAGGAAAGCGATTCGCCTAGAAGATACGAAAGCGATTCGCCTGGGAGCGAGAGATATCAATTGATCTAAACGATCTAAATAAGTTTAGCTTGACTTATAAGAATGCTTGTCAGCTGGTAGAAGACATTTTCAAGTGATTTACCTGGCAGTTAGAGAAAATGTCAAAAAGTGTTTCGGCCGAGAGGAGATATTCATGTGTCGCTTGCCAAGATGAAAGCATTCAGATACTAAGGCACAGCAATAAGATACCCTATGCTAACAACCGTCGCTGTGCAGGGTATAAAATGCATAATACAAAATGCCAATTCACGTTGAAGCGTATCTCATAGATACACAAAATTGAAATTATAAAAATGTTGCTGCTGCTGTTGCTGTTGTTGCTGCTGCTGCTGCTGTTGCTGTTGCAGGCGGCCCCATAAAAAGGCTCCTTTTGTAATTCAAAACTGCCGGCAAGCAGCAACCAGTTGGACGCCCAACGGCCCAGTCCCAATCCCAGTCCCAATACCCAATACCCAGCCGCAGCCGTAGCCGCAGTTGCCCAGCCAGTTGGCCGCCTCGGACGGCATATTTGTTTGTGTATTTTTTTTTCTAACAGTCTGTTTTGCGGACGGACTTGCGGACTGGTTGGCGCTGCGGATTGGCATTTGTAGGATAAGCAGCAGCAGCAGCAGCAGCAGCCGTCGCAGACACAGCCGGTCGCACAAGCGAGCCAGTTTTTACACACTACAACAAAAGCTGCCGACAACAAACAATCTCAATTGCTGCTGTTGTTCTTGTTGTTGTTGCGAATACCTTGGCGCAAGGGTATCGCTGTAACACATGCAAAAGGGAAGCTTGTGGGACACCACATTCTAAGACACAACTCATAATTAAACGTTGATCTCCAGGAAATACTTGAGAATTCTACAATTTTCCATTCATTTTCTTTGGCCACGGCTGCTTCACGGCATCTTAATCAAATTTACGTTGAAAAATGCAGCTGTCGCAAGCGTTTTTAGCTGTTTACAGCGGCTCTTATTAACATTCTGTTTAGCTAACAGCAGCTAGAATTCGTGTTTTAGCAGCTGTTATTGCTGCACTGTTGTTAACAGTGTATGGCAGCTCGAGAGTGTTGTAAATCCTTTTGAGCTTGACTTGAACTTGAGATTTAACTTATCCCTTCAAGCTTAACGCATTTCTCAAGAATGTTCAGAATTTAACTTATCTCTTAAAAGGAGATTTAAAATCAAATCCTTTAAACATTTATTTAGTTCCTTTTAACAAAAACTTAACTTATCCGTTTTAAGCTCGAGTTACCAGCTTGAACCTAGTTCAGATTCTGAAAATGTAGCTTCTATGCAATTCAAGCCTTTGCACTTAACTTATCGACATGAAGCCCAACTAATCCTTATGAAACATCATTTGACTCTCTTTAATTTAGTTTACTTCTTTGACTCAACTTATCCTTTGTAAATTTAGGCCCACATATCTTTAAAATGTATAGCATATCCTTGACTTAACTTATCTTGTTTCAATTGAAACCTTTAAATTTGTTATTTTGAAACTAAAACTTGACTTTTTCTCTTAAAACGCAAGTCAACATCTTGTAACCCAACTTATCCTGTTAAAACTTAACCTTTCTCTAGCAAACTCAATCCATTTAAAACATAATTTTATTTCATTTAAATAGAAGCCTTTGTGTTCGTATTTTTCGCCTGAAAACGTACACTTAACTTATCTCTTTTAAGAGCTTAACTTATTCCTGAAACTCTGGGTTTATCAATCAACTAAAGAATATACCAAAATATATATAAAATACAGATAAAAACTTATGAATTCAGACAGCAGCTTATCGCAGCAACTTAACTTTACAGCTAATGCTGCCTCGAACTTATCTTTCTTCTCGCTCAAAAAGCTTGGGCATAATCCAGCTCTAGCCAGATAAAGTCTGATGCCCTCTAAAAACCTTTTTGCTCTCCTGCTGAATAAGGTTTCAATGCAAATTAACGAGCTTTTTCTTCGTGAATTACCCATAGAGATTTCGGCTGACCCATTGATTTCGCTCAGTGTAGACGCTTAGTTCGCTTTAAAGTGTAGCAGCATATCGTGTTCTAACCTGTTTTACTTTTGATTTTAAATGCGGCAGCTTGCCAACGCAATTGGGCAATGTAACAGAACAGCGAGGCGAGTGTGAGAGACGGTTGGAGGAGGGGTGGGGAGCGAGTTGGAGCGGGGAGTCGGCAGCCTTAACTTTAACTTTCGCTGGCGGGACAGCTGAGAGGATCTTTTGCCTGCAGCTGAGTTATCAGACGCCGGCCACGCCCAGCTAAGCCAGTTTCTGTGGGGCAGACAGTTGCCCGTTGCGATTTATTTTTTTTTTTTGTTTTGTTTTGTTTTCTTTTTATTTGTTGTTTTTATTTTGCTGGCTGGCAGCTGCGCGCCGCCAGCTGTTGCCGCGCGTCATCCTTTGCGGCAGCTGTGCGCGTGGGCAAACGAAAGACTTGGGCAACAAACTTGCCGCACTTCAATTAAAACGACAACAACAACAACAACAAACGTCAATTTATGCAAAACAATTCAATTTTTGCCGCCATTCGTCGGTCATTTACCCTGACAATCGCATTAGGGCGCAACGACAACAACAACAACAGCACCAACAACAACAGCAACAACAACAACAGCAACAACAACAACGACAACAACAACAACAACAGCGACAACGTACTTGAAACAAAGTTTCGTGTCACGCCTCAAAAACATCGGCGCGTCGAACGTTTCACACGCTGCCTGCTGCAAGTGGGAGGCTCTTGTTGTTGCTGCTGCTGTTGTTGTTGCTGCTGTTGCTGTTGCAGGTGTGTGGGAATCTTGGCGAATAGCAAAAGTTCAATAGCATCGCATCAGCAGCAGCTGCTGCAG